TGCTTGCCATTTTTACAGCGTAGTACAAACACCGCTTTTATTTTGTTTGGCTGAAGTGTTATCGTCTTTTCCTTTGTCGTCTTGTATATTAGCAGCGCTTGATTGATTGCTCGTACTGGGATCGTATTCCTGAGAAACACAAGAGATTGTATGTGTATGAGACGTGTGTCAGAACAGATGGGGGGGGGGAGGAGTTCAAGACATGAACCACCAGAAATTCTGTTATTTAATTCTGGCAAAAGAAAAGAATGAATATATCTTAAAATGTTTTACCTCGTATTCTGGCACGTCCAACTTGGCATCTGTACCAAAAATACTCGCATACCATTCCAGGTCGTGTTTTGTATCTGTCTTTTTCAATGTTTCCAGTAAATGTTGATAGATTGCTGTCATTCTAGAATATAGTAGGACAAGACCTTCAGATTTGATGATACAAGAGATAGACAGAAAGCTTTGGATAACTCTATCAGTTCTAAACTGTTCTTCCTAGAGGTTCAGTAAGGATCATCTCTTATTGACCTAGTATTACTACAGGAGGAAACCTAAACTAAACTAACTTTATTTATACTGGATAGCTCTATCAGTTCTAAACTGTTCTTCCTAGAGGTCCAGTAAGGATCATCTTGTTGATCCAGTGTTACTACAGGAGGAAACCTAAACTAAACTAACTTTATTTATACTGAATAATGGATAATTCTGTCAGTTCTAAACTGTTCTTCCTAGAGGTCCAGTAAGGATCATCTCTTATTGATCCAGTGTTACTACAGGAGGAAACCTAAACTAACTTTATTTATAACTGGATAGCTTTATCAGTTCTAAACTGTTCTCCCTAGAGGTCCAGTGAGGATCATCTCCTATAGACCCAGTGTTACTACAGGAGGAAACCTAAACTAAACTAACTTTATTTATACCGGATAGCTCTATCAGTTCTGAACTGTTCTTCCTAGAGGTCCAGTGAGGATCATCTCCTATAGACCCAGTGTTACTACAGGAGGAAACCTAAACTAACTTCATTTATACTGGATAGCTGTATCAGTTCTGGATTGTTCTTCCTGGAAGTCCATGAGTAATGTACCAGAACCTCACCTTGTATTATATTCCTCTCGCGTGACAGCTTTATGGTAACCTAGCAACAAGCTTTCAAAGAAGCTTTTCCGAAGTTCTTCAAATTCCTGACACTTGTTGAATTGATACTTCATGTCATCTTGGTATTTTGGGACGTACCCGGTGAGGTCGCGCAATGCGTCTTCATATTTCACTTTGCATTCCTTGACGTCTTCACCAAACTTTTCAACTTTATCCTGGAGTTTTTTCAGCTGTTCTTCGCTCATCCCTTTTCCTTTACCTTCGAGCTGCTGTTGTTTGCCATTGTCGTGATTACGACATGAATTGTAGTACGTCTTTTTGCATTTGTTTACTGTAAAAACACAATGAATCATTAATGCGAAAGTCGCAGAGAATCTTTTGTATGTTACGTAACACGCGCTGAAAACTATAATGAATATACTTTTCCACTTGATTATAACTATATCCAATTTTTTAAATTTTTAATACGTTTCTCAAGCGGCAAACAAATGTTTAGTGCTTTATCTGTAAAATTATGCTAAAATGAAGAGATTTTAGATGGTACGCCAAAGAGAAAATGATGTCTGAAGTTCAGCAAGTTTTGCTTATATTGCTGTATAAATATGGCATCAAATAAATACCCACCCCTGGCCAAAAACTGTACAAAAGGATACCATTCAGTTGTCGCACATGTCCTTTACCACTTCTATGACATGATTTTGATAACTGCTTGTGCAGTTTTCTGCAGTCTAAAATTTCATGTTGTCTGCACATGTACTTTCTTTGGAGACACCATTTGCCTCTGACAAATCGGAAAATGATCAAAAGAGTGACTCTGATTGATTTACATATCGTATTGACATATGACTGTTGACATTGCTTTTTAGTCTTCAATATTTGAGTGAGTCATGCTTTGTAAATGAGAATAAATTTCTATTACCCAACCCTTGAGTTGTTTTGTTTTTCATTTACCCAACCTTTTACTCGCTCAAAATTTTTTTTTACCCAACCCTTTTCTCTTCGGTGCTACCCCCCGCTATAAATAATGAACGCTCTTTTAAAACTAGTAGTTAAGAGTTTTTGACAGCCGACCTGTGGTTATAAACAAGTCTTGCGCTTTTATACACACAAATAGGAAAATTTAGCTACCTTCGTCGAGTCTGCGAGCCCATGGTTTTTGCGCCTTGCTGAATCCATCTTCGGCGTTCTTTATTTCTTTAAAACTCATCAACGATTTATGATAATTATCTTTTTTCCATTGGTTTACGCTTTGATGAACCTCGTTCACTAATTTCTCGCGCAATTCGTAATGGACGTCGGCGAGTTGGTCGCCTTCGATCATAATTCCAAACATCGCCGTTTTCAGAGCGCCATATTCCGGCCCTTTCTTGTGATTGTCTTCCCATTTTTTTGCCCATGCTATGTTGAAAATAATAGTATTAGGTGTTAAGCCTACAGACGTAAAAACGCACAAGTTGTTAAAGGTCTGCAAACAAGTTGTTACAAATCTGTTCACAAGCTGTGAACAAGTTGTGTTCGCACTGCTTGTTCCCAGTTGTTGTAACAAGTTTGGAACAAGCTGTTAATATACAAATAATGAATGTTTCTTCGTGCAATGGTAAGAATATTTTCATTCGGTGAAAGATGGAATGTTCCATTCAACGAGGCGACAGCCGAGTTGAATGGAACATTCCATCTTTCACCGAATGAAAATATTCTTACCATTGCACGAAGAAACATTCATTATTTGTTTTATATAATACCAAAAGTCCAGAACAGACTAATAGATTCGTATGAGAAGCATTTGAGGGATGCGATTTATCGAAAACACAAAGAGTGCAATTGTACTATACGTTTTATTCCATTGCACTCGCGGAGAGTGCAATGGAACGCGTTCCATTGCACTCTTGGGAAATGGAATTTTCTATTCAATATCACGTGACCATAAACAGCCAATTAAACGATTAGAATTTAATAAGGTATTATATAACAACTTATATTACAAAGTTGATGGTATGTCAGACTTGTTACAAGGTTGTTCCATACAGTCATGATATAACAAGAATGTTACAAGGTTGACGACACAAGGTTGTAACAATATTGTTATATCATGACTGTATCGGACTTGTTGGACCTTGCAACAAGTCTGATGTCAACTTGTTGCGTCATAGCTCTATCAGTTCTAAACTGTTCTCCCTAGAGATCCAGTAAGGATCACCTCTTATTGATCCAGTGTTACTACTGAAGGAAAACCTAGACTAAACTAACTTTATTTATACTGGATAGCTTTATCAGTTCTAAATTGTTCTCCCTAGAGGTCCAGTAAGGATCATCTCTTATTGATCCAGTGTTACTACAGGAGGAAACCTAAACTAAACTAACTTTATTTATACTGGATAGCTCTATCAGTTCTAAACTGTTCTTCCTAGAGGTCCAGTAAGGATCATCTCTTATTGATCCAGTGTTACTACAGGAGGAAACCTAAACTAAACTAACTTTATTTATACTGGATAGCTCTATCAGTTCTAAACTGTTCTCCCTAGAGGTCCAGTAAGGATCATCTCTTATTGATCCAGTGTTACTACAGGAGAAAACCTAAACTAAACTAACTTTATTTATACTGGATAGCTCTATCAGTTCTAAATTGTTCTTCCTAGAGGTCCAGTAAGGATCATCTCTTATTGATCCAGTGTTTACTACAGGAGGAAACCTAAACTAAACTAACTTTATTTATACTGGGACGAAAGCATTGAGAACAGCTAACCAGAATCGCTGTCAACTCTAATGCACTTCGTTTTGATCGAATCAACAACAATTCAATTCTATACTAACATTTCATTTTATTGAAATACATCGTTTCAATTTCAGCCCTTTCGTTGACCATCTTCATAAAATCATCGCATAATTTCGAGCCATCTTCCATTCGCTTTATCGTGGTTTTATAACAATTTACCTCCCAAAAATTAAAATTCGAGACGACGCCATATCCTTCGCTGTGAGCTTGCCCATTTTCGTTGCCTGTAACATTCGCCATGATTGACAAAATGTAAAAAAATTGCTACAAAGCAGAACAGCGTAAAGTACAGCGAAATATACAGCCGTGTTTGTAATTCGACACTGTTTTATTGTTTTTATATTATCGACCTGCTGGTTTCCAGAGCAACGTTCAAACATGCTATGAAATTAAACTTTATTTGCGTGTTTGAAAGATAATTTAATTTAGGAGGATAAGTGTTGTTTATTTTTCAAAATTTTTTAATCGTTTTGTAACATTTTCACTTTATTTGTTATATTTATATTTACAATTATAATATATAGCTTTTATAAACCCTGAACGCTGATCAGCTAAAAGCCGTGTTGACATCCGAGTAAACTCAATGTCAACACTCGTGCAACAGGGAAAATTTCTTTCTTTATATTTCTTTGTGCTATATTATATATCGTTTTCCCCAAATTCTACTCCGTTTTATATTGCTAAAACTGCAACGCTACTATCCCAAAATTACCATTATTTGAGATGGTCGGATCTGCATGTTCGCCGTTCTGTTACGTTTTACATTATCTTTTGTTTATAAAGTTTATATCGGCTTTTTATCACGTATGCGTGACTGGACAGTTGCTGTAGCACAGTACAGTAAATTTGCTTGTTAAAGTACAGTATATTTTGAAAATATATGGCTGTATAACAACCTCGACATGTTTACATATTTAACCATGATATTCTGAGCCATGAATATTGAACTAAAGCATTCTGAGTATTTTCTCGTGAGCTCAGAAATAACTATTAATCAATTAAATCGACACACAGAAGTTCCGCTTATCGCTATTCGAATCACATCTCATATCTTGTAGTAAGTTGTCAACAAGTTTGGAACAAGGCAACATGCTGTTAACAATTTGTAACAACCGTGTTCATATTATCAGGCTTGTTGGAAGGTTGTTCCAACAAGTCCGATACAGTCATGATATAACAATATTGTTACAACCTTGTGTCGTCAACCTTGTAACATTCTTGTTATATCGTGATTGTATCAGACTTGTTAGAACAACCTTGTAACAAGTCTGATAATGCCATCAAGCTTGTTACAAGTTGTTAACAGCTTGTTCCAAACTTGTTACAACAACTGGGAACAAGCAGTGCGAACACAACTTGTTGACAGCTTGTGAACAGATTTGTAACAACTTGTCTGCAGACCTGTAACAACTTGTGCGTTTTTACGTGTGTAGGTCGCACCCCCCTGCAACCCCACGCCCTCCCCGCGAGATTTCCCTTCCTAACTACAGGTAGCCACCTTAATGACGCTATTCTGCGCCGTTTCACTTCCGACTTGTCTCGATAATCCATCTTTATTTTGACAGCTTGCTTTCCTAAAAACAGCGCTTTATTTCAACAAGAACTCTTTGAATTTTGACCGAAACTTTGGCAAGAAACCATGGACATCGTTGGTTTTGTCTGGGCGCCAGATTCGACGCATGGCTTTCGTCTAGGACGAGTTGTCGACCTCGGAGCGGACACGATTTCGGTGGAGCCACTCGACTCCAGAGGCTCGGTATGCTATTGTTTTTCCTGTTCTTTTTATAAAACGTCCTAACTTTATAAAGTTGTGACAACTTCTTGATAAAGTTGTTGCAATTTGAGGCCGAATTCTGTTCGTTTTGTCGCCATATACTCTATGTAAACAGTTATATTTTAATATTTAAGTTTGTTCAACTCGTGTTCCTGGCTGTTAATAGTATTTTACAAATTCTTTTAAACTTGTTTATATTAAAATATTTCAGGCAATTTCAGCACCGTATGAACGCGTTTTTCCCGCCGAGAAAGACAACGATAAAGATGTAGAGGACAACTGTGAGTTTGCCTTAAATATTGTCGTTTTGAGTTGAGTTTTGAGAGCTAAATTCGGCCTCAAATAACACCTGCAATTCTAAACTTATTGTATTAAAAATATATTGATGAATATTATTTGCCATAATTTCTGTATCTTAGCTTATGCTCGAGGGCATTGTTTTGATGTTGGAATGCTATATTTTGCCTTCAATTCGAATTCTTTAGAAAGGCTTTAATTCTTTCACTTTTAAAGCGAAATTCTATGTTATTCACTTGAGTAAAAATTGTCATTGAGTGGGTTGCAAACTTGTTAATTATTGTGCTAATTGTAGCCTTGAACCTGCAGAGCCTTTGTCATTCAAAACAGCCTGAAATGGATGAATTATTTTGTTGATGTGGCAGTAAAAAAAATGTCCAAGAATGTGCTCTTGAAAAATTATAATACACTTTCTTATTTGGCAAATGATTCTTTTCAAAAATAGTCTGTCGTTGATAACAATCGTTGCAAAAGTGTATACTCTGTGATGCAAAACTTGCTTGAAAATTAAACACACTCTTCTGGTCAATTTTGATAATTTACAAAGGCACTAGACTTGCATTTGATTGCCCGATGGAATCTTGACTTGCTTAGTAATGTACGTACTATATACAATCAGTCTGAACCATTTAACTATTTTTGCCTCGACACATAATTTCCGATGTCTATTGCCAACTTGCTAATTTGCTAAAGCATCGGCTATGTAAATCAGGATTTTACAAGCTTAATTCCAACAATAACCCTTTAAGCGGCAATGCGGCCAGACGCGGCCTACTTTATTATTTTACTCTGTCTAACTCCGGCAGATTATTTTGCTCTGTGTAACGCTAGACGATTTTACTTGACAGGGGGAGAGTGCTGCCTCTCAATGGGGTAATGCAAATTTGAATTCTGGAATATACAGTTACTTTATGGTTTCCGTGTTTGGATAGCCTGATCCAAACATGCGGGAATATTGCGAGAGTTAAGAAAAGCGATCGAAATCACGAGCCGAAGGCAAGTGATTTTGCCTGCTTTTCTTAACTCTCGCAACATTCCCAAGTGTTTGCAAAGATCAGGCCATCCAAACACGGAAACCATAAAGTAATTGTTTTATAAAATAACAACAACACAATAGTCTTCCGTGTTTGGATGGCCTGATCCAAACACGGGTTTCAACCAATCAGAACACTCGTTATATACATGTTATTTTATAACAGCAATTTATCATCGGTGCATTAGCGTACAACTCAAGTTTAATGTGGTATTAGTACATGGTCATAAATCGCAGATGTGATTTATTCTACTGCGTAATTTGCATACCACGTGTATAGCACACCATAAACTGTGAATTATGCAACGTGACATTGTAATTATCAATTGTGAAATCTGAGAATAAAGTAGGTCGTTTCCATCTTGCCTCGATCGCTGGCTGCAAAACAAAGTCTGTCTAAGTATTTACTGCGGTTTCCAGTTGAGTATGGAATTGCGAAAGTTTGTTCGTCAAGTTTTGTCGTTTGAAAACAATGTTTGTGACATCATTCTATAATGTTGTTAGGGGAGCTGACAATGTTGTCAAGTAAAATACTGCCAAGTTCACGACTATAAATAGAAACTTTATTTCGTTTTGTAATGATTGACAGTTTTTAACGGTTTTTACTTGACAACATTGTGTGCTCGCCTGGTAACATTATAGAATGACGTCACAAACATTGTTTTCAAACGACAAAAGTTAACAAACAAACTCTACGAACAAACTTTCGTAATTCCATACTCAAGTGGAAATTGCAGTATTGGAATCAGGGGTGTAGGAAGCTTCTAAAAGTTGGGGGGGGGGGGCAGTATTATTCCTGGAAATGAAAAAATTTTCCGGAAAATAACATAAATTCAAGTTTTCAAAAAATAAGGCAATCCTTAAGACATTTTTCACGCAAGAAAAGGGCACTTTGCTCCCGAAAAAAGGGCACTTGGCAGAATTTGATGGGGGAGGCCTGCCCCCCAGGCCTGCCCCCC